ACCTCGAGTGCAGGCGACACTCTGAACACTAAAGAGACTTCACGTGGGGGACTGAGCCCTGTTTTTGAGGCAGAACTGGTCTTCCATTTGGATTTGTGAATGAGTGACTGAATGTGTGCAAAGTGCAAACCGCCCTGTGAGGTCGCCGGTTTGCACGGATGTGTGAGCGAATGACTTTTTGAATGTGTGTCTTGTGTTTTGTGACCCTGTAGTACAAATACTCTATATTTATACTCCTGTATTCTTGTATATGAACGATGTTGTGTGGTTATCGTTGTAGCTGTTTAACACCAAATAAGCAATAAACACGTACTTCATCTAACTCATCAGTGAATTGATGGTGTGTGTTAGACGTTCAGGTTGTTGATTGTCATAGTGGTGATCACTGCAGCCTGGTTTTTGGGAACTTTTTATTTTATGTTAAAACATGCCACCGGTGGAAAAAAGTGACCCAAGTCATCAAATGAAGCACTAACAGCTGCCTCATACTGCCACAGCTGCCAGCGTAGTGCAGTAAAGATGGTCTAGAGTTACAGATTTGCTCGGCAGCAAGGCCGACTGGAATTGCTGAATGTGAAAGTTCTTTATCTGCTCAATGTTTTGTTTGGGGATATTTGGTCGTATCATTTGATAACCTTCGCTTTTCCTGCTGATTCCTTTTCCAGTCAGCTGTTTTTTGTTTTGGTTTTTTGCAGTGACACACACTCTTTTTTAGCTCTGCTGAGCTGTTTAAGAGTAATCTCATGACTTCAGTTAGTGCCCTGAGACAGATCGTAGAACGACTTCTCACTCTAAAATCTTTGTCCATCTGTCTGTCTGAACAGGCTGCTGCCAGCAAGCTACCTTTCAGTTATTTAAGATCCTGTGATCTCCCCGTCTGTGCCAGATCAACTCCAGAGGTTTCACTGAGGCAGGGGAACAGCACAGCAATGCTCTGTCACACACTGACACCTAGTGACAGGGTTGGGTTCTGTTTTTTATGAAGCACAAAAGACTGTATCTCGCTCTCAGCATATTAAATGTTGTTTGTGGTTTTAGGTTATTAGAAATCACATTGCGTAAGAACAAATGAGTGCATTAAAACATTTACCATACAAAACTGAATGACTGTAATTATACAATTGCTGTCATGGCAGAAAGAAAGTACGCCCTCTGTCACTTTTAATGTTCTTAAAGGTTTTTAAATTAGTTTCATTTCAGTGGTAACACAGCAAAGATCAGATTTCTCACTTTATTTGTTTGGTTTCATTTAAAATTAGGCCAAAATGCAGAAGAACAGAGTACACGCTGATATTTAATATCTTATAGAACCTCTTTGACCAATTATCATTTTCTGTGCCACTTGATCAGTCTCGTAAATCTCTGTGGAAGAAATTTGGCTCGCTCTTCTTTGCAACGTAACTTCAGTTCACTGAGGTTTGGGCATTTGCTTATGCACAGCTCCCACCACAGCATCACAATCAAGTTGAGGTCTAGAGTTTGGCCAGGCCACTGCAGCACCTTGATTCTTTTCTTGTTCAGCCATGCAGTTGTAGATTTCCTGCTGTTGTTGGGAAATCCTCGTGGTTTCTGCCTGATTGTGTTTCAGCCAATATTTAGTTTTCAGACAGATGACCTTACATTTGACTCTAGAATACTTTGCTATACTGAGTTAATGGCCAATTCAATGACTGCAATATCCCCAGTGCCCCATGGTTGCAAAAGAAGTCCAAATCATCACCCCTCCACCACCAAGCAACAGTGTTTGAGGTGTTTGTGCTGATATGCTGTGTTCTGTTTTCTCCAAACGTGGTGTTGTGCATTATGATCGAACAGCTCCACTTTGGTCTTGTCTGTCCAAAGGACATTGTTCCAGAAGTCTTGTAACTTATTCAGGTACAAACCTAAGCTGTGCTGCCATGTTCTCTTTCGAGAGAAGCGGCTGTCACCCTGCAGTCCTTCCAAACCAGCCATACTAGTTCAGACTTTTCCTACTTGTACTGTGATGAACTTTAACATATAACATACTAACCGAGGCCTGTAGAGTCTGAGATGCAGCCCTTGGATTTTTTTGTTTTACAATTCAACTGAGCATTGGGGAGAATTTCCACTCATGAGAAGACTGTTGTTGTAGCTCACCTGACATTTGGTTTGTCTAATTTTGAGACCTGCTAAGGATCAAAATGTTGTTATCCTGGGACGTAAAACCTCAGAACTGACAGGGGCCATGCTTTCTTTTAACAATGAAATTATAAATATTGTAACTACAATGTACGTACAAGACATTGTCACTAAGAGTCAGGTTTTTCTTCTTCTTTAAAATGTCACACTGTGCACACGTTGGTGTTTTTTTAAATGCACTGGAACATAAATGGAAAACACTCAGCATGTAGTTAATAACAACTATCACTTTTGAAACTCCACCAGCATAACACTCACAAACATACTCAAACACCCACAGACAGACAAAACACACACACACACCTTCACAGCTCTACACTTTCCAATCAAGAAGAAAATCAGCAAGATTAATCTTTTTGCATGCAGACTCACCCACAAAACCACATCTTCTTCTTTTGTAACAACTCTGCAACCATTAAAACCTGTCTCTAACAGACAGAGTGAGAGAATTAAACTCTTGCTCGATTGGTTATTTATTTTCACTTCTTTTGGGTGTTTTACAGCAGTTTTTTAGGCCTGTCACTTCCTCCTTTGTCCGCTACTTTTTTAAGGACACACTGCACACCATGCTGAGTATGCCAGGTTCTCAGACAATAGCTGTTTTGGAATAAAATTGTTGTTGCAAAAATAGTTTTTCATGCTTGTCAAACTGCATTTTCTTTGACATTTTTCAAACATTCAACAAAAGAAATGGGAACAAATTCTGTCTTTTTGTAACAGGCTATTAGAAACAAAGTGCTTAAAGATGCCATTTAAAATAAGTTCTTTGTTAACACCATCACCTTTCACAGAGCACTAAATGATCTGCAGAACAGGAAGAGTTACTTGACGATGCTCTTCGTGGACTACAGCTCAGCGTTTACCACCAACACCATAATACTAGACATCCTCACCACCAAACTGGACCACCTATTACCTGCTCCTGGATCAAAGATTTCCTCACAAACCAGCCTCAATCAGTCCAACCCCCAACCTCTCTGCTCGACTGTCATCCAGCACCAGATCCCACGCCCTGTACACCTATAACTGCACACCAACCAAGCCAACTCTCGTCATTGTCAAGTATGCTAATTACACCACCGTGGTTAAACTCATCTCTGATGGAGATAAGACAGCGTACAGGGTGGAGGTAGAGAACTTTTCCCACTGGTGCTCCGAAAACAACCTAAAGCTGAACATCCTTAAAACAAAAGAACTCATAATGGACAGACACAGACAGGTCCACTCCCCTCTAATTATAAATGGGGAATGGGTTGAATCTATCTCCACCTTCAGGTTTCTGGGCACCCACATCTCCCCTGATCTCACCTGGACCCACAACACCAACGCCCTGTAAAGGCCCAGCAGCGGCTGCACTTCCTCCGTGTCCTGAGGAAGAATTACGTGGACCAGAAGCTGCTGCTGGCCTTCACTGCTCCTCTGTGGAGAGCATCTCCTCCACACTGGGTGTTTGATAGACAGAGTCCACTACTGACAACAGGACAGCTGTACAGAGGGTAATCAACACCACCCAAAAAAATTATTGGTTGCCCTCTGACACCCTGGAGACCATTGCCAGATCCTCCTGTCTCAGGAAAACTAGGAAAATCATAGGTAAGCCCTTACACCCTTACACAGCTTACCATCTGTTTACCCGCTTCTCTGGTCAGCGCCTCAGGTCAATCAGGTCCCACACCTCCAGACCCAGTAACAGTTTCTTCCCCTGGGCCATTCAGACTGTTAACAAACACCCACCTCATGAATCTGAGCCATGGTCTGTGTGACCCTCATCACTCAGGCCACTATTTGAAGCTATTTTGTTCTCCAATGTCTGTCTTTCTCTTATTTCTGAATATATTCCTCTTGATTGTATATATTTGTCCTCTTTTGCTATTTTTTCCTGCTTTCTACTTTTTATATTTTATTCTGGCACCGTTGGTGTGGAGCACCCACAACTTTTTTTTTTTCTGTTCTCAAACCGATCTCCCTGTTGGAGCTCAGTCTGGGGGGAGTTATTTTTTTTCTCCTTATCTTTCCTCATGTGGTGCATTTTCCATTGTTATACCTCTCTGACCTGTCTTCCCCATGTGATGTTTGTGTAATGTATGTATGGTCAGAAGGGTAAGTCGGCGCTGGCAAAGGTCGGCAGCCTTAACTCCATTTCCTTTGGGGTCAACCTTCAGATCAATAAAGTTTTATTGAATTGAATTGAACTTCATTTTACACGTACAATGACAATAAAGGGCTATTCTATTCTATCTATTCCATTCTAAATAAAAATAAATAAATAAGAATGAATAATAGAAATTGTTTTAAAAACTTCTGGAAATGGTCAGGTATGAGGATTGGACTGAACGTGAATAAAAAAGCAGTTATTGTCCAAAGAAAACTTTGAAAACCCTTCAGAAACTTTGAAAGACTATTCTCGACATCACTGGATCAAAATGGGAATCAAAATGGGGCGACTTGACACTTTTGCACAGGATTGTATATAAAGAATAGCTTTTCAAAAAGCAACCCTTCTCTATAACAAACAAAACCCAAGAGGGAACTCTGACTAATCCTGTTGTAAATGTCATTTAACATACAATTAGCACACAATTAAGTTATCTTATCAAAGTATTTTCGTCTGATTGATTTAAGGATTTTAAGAGCTCCAAACAAAAAAGGGGAAGCCTCGGCTTCGTGACACGCAGTGGTAGTTCACACAAACACTGCCCTTTCCGCTGTTTTCCTATTATCTAGTTAACTACAGTCATATGACATGCTTCACATGATGTGCGTGCAAATAAAACTGTGATTGGAGGAGACACTTCCTCGGCGCGATGTGATTGGTGGACCGGGCAGGCACCGTTCTCCATGATTTAATCATTGTTTTGGGGGTTAAAGACCGTCCGCAGAGCAATGTGTTTCTGTGAGGTTTGGCTTTAGTCTGCCAGCTGCTCTCATTGTCACTCTGAGAATACAGAAGAAAAAAAATGCAGCTTTGGTACATTGCAGCTATTTTTTTGTGCGATGTCGCTGGTAAGGAAATACATTTCATATTTGTGTTTTTAGGTTAGCTGTTTACAGTCAGCCAGCGTTACATGCTGTGGAGGTAGCTAGCACTCGGGGGTCTTGTTACGCAGCGGTTACGTGCAAATAAACATGTTAATAAACGTACATTAGCATTCAGTTTGCTAAATAAGAGGCTATCTTTGTGTGTAAGTAGCTATACAGTAGAGCAGGAATACATACGATAATTTTTAACTTTCACATTAAAGTCTTCCTGTTTTAGCTTGAGAGAAGTGCTAATTTATGAGCGCCACTAACCACTCTTTAATTCGGCACACAACTAACTTTATTAATTACCAAAGCTTAACCTTTTCCTTTTATGATAAAGTGGGCTTTAAAACTTAAAAAAGGAAGGTTGGGGTATGAGAAGTTTATCTAATTTTATAGCTTATATTGCCAAAATGGCTACAAACGTCTGTTTTATCCTCTGCTCCGTGTGTGAGAAGTTAACAAGGCGTCTGTAAATGACCAGTGTTTGTAGCGTCCATGTAACCAGTTATAGCAAATATCCAGGGATAGCTGTCAGTATTTCTTGCTTTGCTATTTGCTGCTTGTTGCACACAGCTCTGTAGTTATATTACTAACATGTGTTGTCACCTCTGCTTCATTGTCAGGTACAGAGGCAAAGGCAGTACATAGCCTTCCTGATTTTGGAAAGAGCTATCATGTCAAAGGTAAGCTGTGAACTAACAGAGGGTTACACAGTATGTTTTGGGCCTTGTTGGAAGTTATGTTTCATTGAGTATTTACATTTCAGGAATCATCTCTCTGCCCTATGCTGAAATTGAGGAACCATTTGAGGCCTGGTTAGACCTAACAGCAAAGTCAAGCCGGATAGACTACTACCACGGTGAGAAACCCCCTTCAGCTGATTCTCCTGAAGCAGATTCTGTATTCCCCTGCTTGGCTAATCAGTAATTTGAAATTGAGTGCCTGTTGTGTAAGAGAAACGATACCAGACTGTAACATTATTGCAAAAAAAGAAGTGAAAAAAGACAGAGTAAGCACGCGTGATGAACATAATCTGATGACTCGTGTTGCATGTGACTTTGTACCAAAATTGTGTTTTTATATGCTTACAGTGCTGATGACGGCTGGTGCAAACTTACCCATGAATACTCCTCTTTATTTAGTTTTTCTTCCATCAGACAAATCATCATCTTGACTTGTACATAACTGTAGTCTGTTAGGAAAAAGGAAGAATGAACACATTCAAAGTAGTAATGAAATAATAAAATTGAATCCTGATATAATGCGTTTCTACTGACAGGTGTATACGCCAAAAAGCCCTGACTATAGCTAATAAGGTTTTGTCTGAGCCACACATAGCATATTCATTCAGAAATCTTGAGCTATTAACAAAATAAATGTACTATTAACATTAGAGAAGTCAATAATGTCTAATTTTAACACTCTTTATCACCAACAGGCCAGGTTTTGACTTACCAGTTAGCTTCAGAGCAGCAGTATGGCACTGCCTATAAGATCTCGCCTGAGACCACTGAAGAGGAGCTAAATGTGATGAAGTGCTTCCAGATTAACGGAACAAAGGACGAAGCAGTCACACCGCAGGCTGCGCTCCCCGATGTGCAGGGCTTCCAGGTGTGTGTTTTATTTCTTTTTATTCCACTTTTCAGTTTGATCTTCATGAGTAAAAGTGTATATATGGAACAGTCTCCGGTTGTTAAAACAGAAGCCAAAGCAGAAAAGTCTTAAAGCTGTATACTATCATTCTAATGGCCAGAAGGGGGTAGTTACCCTACTGCAAGAAGAAGTCAGAGTGTACTGAGGTCACGCACACATCGGTTAAGAGTTGACCTCGACATTGGACATGATGCAACCACCGGTTGCTAGGGAAACTTCTATTCCCCAACCAGTTGGCAGTGTTTCTAGTAGATTGCCAGTGTTTGTAGATAAGCCCTTCACTTACAGTCAGACCAGTAAATGGGAATATGCTACCATTACTAGTATTACTAATATTGGGGGAATACTAATATTTCTTTAGTGACAGGTTGTTTCCAGGAAATCACTAACCTGTCTGTAGGCTTGTGTGACTTTGGTTATAGCAGTCATTTTTGCAGCACCTGCCATCAGCCTCCAGCAATCATTCACAGCTGGTCTTGGAGTGCTCATTTTCCTCCTCACGTTCGAGGGTTGTCAGATGGTCACTCTCTAGACCCGCGTCACTATAGACGCATTCACTTGATCCTATGTTGTCACCACGATTGTCACACAATCATGGTATTAATGGTTAACAAGTTGACATCACATGGTCAGTGGTGATGTGTCAGCAAAACCGCAAAAGAAAACAGGTAAATGACTCAACTGCTTACCTCATTAAACCTTTTCTGATGAGTTTGTGGGCTCATAAGTCATAAGATCTTTATTACAGTGTCATGTTCATTTTGTAAATTACATTTTCATGAGGAGTATGTCTTAGTGGAAAACAAACCGTCACCATTTATGAGTATTTATATCGTAGTCACATATTTCATTGAATGTTTTTATCTTTTATTTTGACAAGTCAAGTTGTTCATTTCCCTCCTTAGTTCCTGAGGGTGGAGTACTACAGAGGTTCCCTGTGTGAAGTCTGGCAGAATGTGACCACTGTGGGTTACAAGAAGAACACGTACACACTGTGGGTGACACATTCAGAGCGAGGTGCAGATGGAGGAAAAGACACCCCCATTCCCATTCACTATGAGATGATGGGATACAACACTCTGCTGGGGTCTCATTACGACAAGTACTTGGTGGAATACAAGGAGTTCAGCACTGAGGTGAACCCCAAAGTCTTCCTGCTGCCTGAAGGTTTGTGTAAATATATACCTGCTCGACCTTTTGGAAGACTCAGAGGACAAAAGAAAAACAAAAACTCCTTCTTGTTGTGTTTCTATACAGGCATGAGTTGTGGTGGGTTTCCTGGTCCTGGAGTGGAGCACCATATGTTGGCCAATCCAATGAAAGATCTCATCCACACCTCAGCGTCAGGCCAGTCACAGCGCATGTTCAGCCATTTCAAGGACAAGTTCCAGCGGCAGTACAGCGATGAAAGGGAGCACGAGAAGAGGGAGCATGCTTTTGTTCTTAACCTACGGTGAGAGCAACATTTAATACTTTAATAATAATTGTGAGGCTACAGCTTTAGTAGTAGTTTTTCAGCGGTGTGTCTGACTGGTTCCCTGTTTTTCTAGGTACATTCACTCTAAGAACAGAGCGGGCATGTCTTTCTCTCTGGCTCTGAACTCTCTGTCGGATCGCACCATGTCTGAGCTGGCAACCATGAGGGGAAGAAAAAGGGGAAAGACCCCAAACAGAGGGCTCCCCTTCCCCTTCAAAGCTTACAAAAGAGTCAATCTTCCCGAGTCACTCGACTGGAGGCTTTATGGTGTGTATAAGCTTTAAATATTCACCAAAGATGCATCTGTGAGGAAGGTTTGTTTTTTCACCTTAACTCTGGCCTCCCAGGCGCCGTGACCCCAGTAAAGGACCAGGCCATCTGTGGCTCCTGCTGGAGCTTTGCCACCACTGGAGCAGTAGAGGGCGCTCTCTTCTTAAAGGTAAAAAGGATAGGAGGCAGCTTGCTGCACAGTCCTTGGCCCCATTCCAGTGTCTTCGAATAATGGGGCTCCTTCCCTATTCTCTTTGAAGCCGCAGATGCTCAGCTTGATGCTTCATCTGTTCTTGTTTGGGTTTATTTCCAGTGCAGTTACGTTTGGTATAAATCTATAGTTTCTGATGTTTTAGGGAGAAATTAGGTTTTATTTTAATACTCCTTGTATTGAAGTGGCTCGTGCAGGCAGAAGAATTCTCCCAGTGAAATGAATAAAATACAAAGATGCAAATTATTCAAGGTGCAGGACTGATATAGATTCTTTGTGACAAAACCAGCAGAATTATTTGCAAAATTAAAAATAACCATTTGTAAATTAGATAGATAATGACAGTCTGTCACATTTATTTAGCGTAGGGCTGCTGTTTGAGTCTACTGACCTTTTTTAAAAAATAAAAAAAACAAACAAACATCCTTCTCTCTGAAGTGCAGCCCTCCTTTTGGGGACAGATCCACAGGAAGATTCATTGTGTAACTTCAGTCGTGTTGGACGGGCTTTACAGTGTGTGTGTCTGTGTGAATGAATGAGTCTGAGGGGACGTCAGCTTTGGGCTGCCTCCATCCTGTAGAAAGCTGAGCTCAAAGGCATTCCTTATCCCATGTTGCCTAGCAACTTGATCCAAACATAGGATCAGTTTATTGGGACTTGACGGCACCCCATTGAAGTGACCGAATTCTGTGTCTCTCCCTCACATAGGAGACTCTTAATTATGTGTCTTGCCCCTGGCCTGTAGCTCTGTAACTCCTAGGCTGAGGTCCAGTGATGGAGGAAGTCTCAGGGCTAATACTTACATTAAAGCTCCTGCTTCATCGCAGTGAAGCAGGAGTAAAATGTTTTTGCATTGCAGTAAACTTAAGGTGCTGCGCTTGGAAATTTCCCACTGAGTATCAGTAAAATCTGATCTTAGTATTTATTTACTCATCTAGTTTTAAATTACTGATCAGAAAATGCAAAGTACATAACGAACACCGAAATCCAGGGTCGAAAAGTAAAGTGAATGTGGAAGTGAGCCCCTTGAGACTGGCTCCAAAGGCGATTCACTCAAGTATAAAGAATCGATAGAGCTTCTGGGTCTGAAAAGTGAAGCAACTGCAAGTTTATTCTTTTTTAAAGCCACTGGGGAGGTGATATCTGTGATTTTAAAAATACTCCTGCCTTATAAAAGTCTGTAGGAGAAGAGCCCATAAATCTTTATCCCTTTTGTAAATTTTAGTCATTTGAAGTGTCAGAAAGGAGGATTATCCAGGACATGCTCTTTGGCATCAGCGCGGTTTCATGGTCAGATTACCCCTCGCTGTCACATGTGGTTCAAAGCACCGAGATGATGTTGCAATGAGATTTCACAATGCAGTAGAAAACTTTATGGTAGTTGCATCCTTGTTTCACACTGTCAGTGGTCGTGATGGACTTCCATGTAAAAATGTCCAACTTTACACCAAAACATGTTTTTAAGGTCTGGTTTTGGTCTCTGTAGCGACTTCTTGTTTAACGATGTATAAATATATAAATGTAAGGGATTCATCCGTGCAATAATCTTAACATTTCTCACTGAGGTAAAGCAGCTTGAACTGCTAATTGCTTTGCAATAATTGCAGGAACAGTTTGTTTTGGCTAGGAGGAAGTACTGCTGTGAGGCTGCAGCAGGTCGTCTTTGAACCTGAGCGATGCAGTGACCCTTTCCCCACGGGCAGGTTCATAAACAGAGCCACTCAGTGGGGGGCACGCTTTGAATTTAGTTCTTCGTGATCTCACAGCATCTTCCTAGAAACCTGTAGATTGCAGCTGGAGTAAAAATGGTGTAGGAATGAAAGCCGATTATAAATGTTTAGCTGTCTTGTTTGTGTTTCATATAATCAAATGTCAATAAAGTGGATCAGTGGATTAAAATGTCTGCATTTTATTAGAGTTTGATTCATGATTAGTGCAGAGTAAGCGCAGGCTGCTGATGTAATGCCGAGTGTAATCATACTTTTGCTCGTGTCTTTCAGACGGGCTCTCTGCAGGTTCTGTCTCAGCAGATGCTGATCGACTGCTCCTGGGGTTTCGGTAATAACGGCTGCGATGGCGGGGAGGAGTGGAGAGCGTACGAGTGGATCATGAAGCATGGAGGCATCGCCACAACGGAAACATATGGCGCCTACATGGGGATGGTGAGATGATTTCACAACAACAAATCAAACATTTAAATGGCCTGTATTTGTATAGCGCTTTACTCGTCCCTAAGGACCCCAAAGCACAACCAGTCATTCACACACAGGTGATGGCAAGCTACATTGTAGCCACAGCCACCCTGGGGCGCACTGACAGAGGCGAGGCTGCCGGACACTGGCGCCACCGGGCCCTCTGACCACCACCAGTAGGCAACGGGTGAAGTGTCTTGCCCAAGGACACAACGACCGAGACTGTCCAAGCCGGGGCTCGAACCGGCAACCTTCCGATTACAAGGCGAACTCCCAACTCTTGAGCCACGATCGCCCCTTAAAAGAGCGACGTTAATGGTGTAATTCTACAAATCTTATCATTGTGTATTAACGGCATGTTTGATTTCAGGCTCAGGAAGCCTGTCTTACAGTTAAACAAGCTTTTGACCAGAGACTGTTTCATGTGTCTCTTAAGTACTTAAAAGCATTCAGAAAGTTACTGTCAGTTTGCCCCACTGTGTATAACTGTGTATTTATTAACATCAAAGGAAGAGACTGACTTCCAGTGACCTGTGATTATCCCAAATTGCTCTCGTGTCACCCAAAAGTAGCAAAAGTTGCAAAATTCAGTCATAAATCTAGCATGCTCTAACTAAGCAGACATAGATCTGCTGTTAAAGAGTAGTATTAAATATTATACATGTATTTAAAAATAAACTATGTGATGTCTGTTCATGTCTTTAACCCAGCTGCCCCACATGTGCTAGGTCACAAAAAGCCAGAGGTGGATGAAAGCCAGTTGAAATGACAACTGCTGGTGTGTATAAATGGCCTTTACTGGGCAGCTATTCTACCATTCTCTCCAGTGCTCCTTGTTAAGTTTTCCTTTGTAATAAAACAGCAATTTTAAGGTCCAGAAATATTCAGAACCCAAACAAAGATTCACATTTTGTTCCAATAATCCCTCCCCTCTGGTATTCCAATTAAAATAACATTCCTTGCAGCTATCATAGAATCATCAGGAGCAAAACATCACATACTTTCTTTCTGTGTTGAATAATGGATTGTTTTTCCATTAATTTGCCCTCCACAAACCCCAGTAAATCACATGTGTATGATTCATTTCAATACATTCCTCCCTAAACGTTAAAGCAAAACCTACAAATTTATATTTAAAAAAACAAGCCAGCAGAATAACTGCCTGCTTATTAACAGTGGATTTCAACACAAAAGAGGATTTCGAGAAGCTGTGAGAAAGTTTTTAAAAATATTTTTTTCTCTCCGAGTAGAACGGATTTTGCCACACGAACTCATCCGAGCTCACTGCACGTATCCAGAGCTACACGAACGTCACGTCTGGCGATCAACTGGCCCTCAAGCTGGCGCTCTTTAAAAACGGCCCCGTTGCCGTGAGTATCGACGCATCACATCGCTCGTTTGTTTTCTACAGTAACGGCGTCTACTACGAACCTGCTTGTGGTGAGTGTTTTTTCTTTCCACAGTGATTGCGTTAGATACTATCCTTCACGCTCACAACAACGTAACTCGCTGGTTCTGTTTTTCAGGGAACACTGTGGATGATCTGGACCATGCTGTGCTTGCAGTGGGATATGGCACCCTGAATGGAGAGCCATACTGGCTCATCAAGAACTCTTGGTCCACATACTGGGGCAATGATGGCTACATCCTCATGTCTATGAAGGATAACAACTGTGGTGTTGCCACTGATGCTACATATGTTACACTGGCATAGACTGTCTTCTTTTAAAGCCTTTATGTTGCTGCTGATGCCACTTCATGACTGCTGAATTACACTTAATCTTGATGTGTGTGTTAGGCCAGCTTTATGGGAAAAAAGCCTAAGAACTTATCGTGGACTGAACTAAACATGGCAGCCTGATTGGGAGGAGACAGCACTACAGTGTTGCATTGATAACAAGACAAACTGGATCATTGTGAAGTAAAAGGTGTTACGTCCCGATAATCTATTTTGTCTCTGTGGTGTTAGTTTTTTAATTGCTGCTGGAAGGCAGAATTTTTATTGAAAACAAATTTAAATAAATTTGCTGGTCCCAGGAAGTTATTAACTCTGGTTGCTTTGTCTGTTTCTACTTGGTGGCACACAAACACACACAGAACAAGTTCACTCAGTCATTAAAATTTTACTGCTCAAGGCACACTGGCTCAATGCCCTTATTTCAGATAAGTCACAAATTTCCACTCGTCCTTTACAGACAAATTATTCCTGCTATAAAAAGAAGTTGCATTTATAATGACATCTAACATCACATGCTGTGGCCAGCATTAAGGCGTGCACTCTCACATCATGCATATCGACATTTATACAATTGGTTTCTTTAATTTCTTTGCAAAAGGGATTTAGTTTGTTTGTTTTTTTAAGTCTACAAAAAATCTTACAACAAATTGGTTTCACAATGGAACAGAAATAATATCAAGTGTTTCAATTGACTTTACTATTTTCTTTTTTTTTTTAAATTGATGGAAGGTCACAAAAATATTAAGTCATACAGGAACATGATAAAGAAATGATGCCGTCTTCTGATGATGCCGGAGAAATTGGAAAACTGCTCTGTGGTCAGAAATGTGAAATTCCTTTTGGAAAACATGAGCGTCATGTCCTCCCAGATAAATCCTGTGTCTTTCACGGTGTGTGAGTGCATCAGGGGCTGTGCAATTACACATCTGAAAAGGCACCATTAGTGCTGAATGGCATATACATACATATGAGGGCCCAAAATTTTTTTAAAAAAGCAGAGTGGGTATAAAATTTTGAGAAAAAACTCAAGATTTTTGACATTAAAGTGGCAAATCTGAGAGAGAACATTGAGCCTACAGTGCCTAAGACGCCTCTCATGGTTTCAATCCTTCAAACCATGAGGATTGAATGCTTTAATAATCTGTTGGATTGCGTCCTGATGTACCACAAGTCCTCAAGACATCAACTGTGCTGTAGTACTTCACACACAGGCTGTTACCTCATCCAAATCAGTGTGTTTTCTCATGAATAGCAGCTCATGACAACGACTCTTTGAAGCTCAGACGCTTTTGAAAATGTGGTGATTCTGAACTTAAACCACAAGGATTTCTTTATTGCAAAGTCCAATTGAAAAGTAGAATTAAATTAGGTCATCTAAGAAAAAGGTTTTTTTGTATTATTCCTGGCAAATTTGCCATTTTTCTCATTAATTTGCCACTTTAATGTAAAACATGTGGGGTTTTTTTTCCATTTTTTTCTTGGAATTTTTCCTGCAGTCCAGACCTTCCACCAACAGAAAGCAATTGGCACATCATGAAGAGAACAAGATATAAAGACTCAGGACTGATAAGCAGCTAGAATCATTTTTTTCTCAGTTTAAATGTTCCATATTGTTTCCATATTCTATTGTGAATCAAATGTGGGTTTATGAGGTTTGCAAATCATTGCATTTTATTTCTATTTACACTTTTACAGTTGGACATGTAAATGCTTGTGCCTGAATAACAGCACAAACATACGGTGTTGTGTAAAAGTATTTGCCCGCTTCCTGAGTCCCTCTCTGTCACAATGTTTCAGATCATTAAGCAGAGTAACCAGAGTAAACGCAAAACGCAGTTTTTAAATGATGATTTCATTAAATGTGTAAAAATAAAATCAAGAAGGGGCACAGATACTTCACAGCACTGTATGGCATCATATTGCATATTCAAGTGCATCCGATACATGAATCGAATTTCTTCTATAATTCATAACAATAACAGCCCTTGATTGCTTGTGAAGACTCATAGAGTGTTATCATTGATACATGCTGCAGTCCGTTTGTATTGGACAATAATAAAAGGAGAACAAATCTAAAAACAACAACAACAACAACAATGCTGAAATCAAATATTCTTCCACATGCTGATAACAGTCAAATCTCTTTTTTTTCATCCAAATCTATTAAATACAACAGTCTAACTAAAAGGCTTCACTAGTGCATGCAGTCTTTTTTCTTGGCTTGAGACGAAGATGAGGCAGTTGCTTGCAATATAAATTTGTGCTACAACCAACATATGCCCAAAACAAAAACACTTTCATACAAAAATATCAAGCATGTTTCTTTGAACAAAATGTTTAAAATGCAGTAATAACGTTTGGAGAATAGGTGCGTTGCATTTGGCAGTCTGCTAGTCTTCTCCAGTCTTTAAACAACGTTTAGTTGTGCGTTCGGCCCCCCAATCACAAGAGCAGCGCGTCCAGGGATTTTGCCCTGAACAGCAACCGCACACCCATCTTGAGTGCAAACAATACCTAATTTTAAGTGGTGCGAAACACAGTCCGGAGATCTTTGCGAATTTATAGCACGCAGCACACACAGATCAACAATCAGCACCGTTACAGTCACGTGAAACAGAAAGTTTTCACTGGACTTCATGCTGCCTGTGAAGACCCAAGTACACATTTAATGCTTCCAAAGCAATTAAGAGGATAATAGAACACAGTTTATTTAACTGATTAACAACAAGCGTGACCACTTCTAAAAAAGCAGACGTTTGATGGTCTGGTGCATTCAGGTGTGTGTTAACACATTACCGAATCTTCAGAGGAGTGGACACCCCAAAGTCAGACCACCAAATGCTCAGAGTAACAGCAAAAAACAGCTACGTGAGCTACATCTCAGAGTCTACACACTTCAGTTAGAATGTTAAATCTTAAAGTTCACGACAGTACAATTTAAAAAAGACAGAAAAAGTCGCTTGCTTGTGAGGAGCTACCAGGAGAACATCTCCTCTCTAAAAAGAACATGGCACCAATGCTTAGGTTTGAACAGTAACATCTGAACAAACCACAACACTTCTGAAGAATATCTTTTGGCAAAAACCAAACTCAGCATATCAGCACTTACAGCTCATATCAGCTGTGAAGCACGGTGGTGGAGGGGTGATGATTCAGGCTTCCTGTTGGCCATGTGACCTAAGCATCTTTCAGTGACTGAGTCGACCATGAACTGCTCCGTACACACAAGTGATCTAAAGTCAAACGTGTGACTATCTGTCCGTCAGCTAACGTTTGACCCAAATATGGTCACGTAACAGCACAGCAGGAACAGAACGGCTGAAAAGAATCCAGGCGTTACAATGGTCCCGTCGAAGTCAAGACTTCAATTTGATTAAAATGCTGTTGCAGGTGCTTAACAGAGCTGTGTATAAACAAATGCCTGCAAACCTCAATGAACTGAAACAACGCTGTAAGGAAGATGTCCCAGAATTCCTCCACGATAACGTGGTAGACTGAGAAAGTCATACAGTGAACTATTACTTCAAGTTAATACATGTGGTTCTACAAGAAGTTTCTGGAGTTAACGAGTGTCGCAGAAGGAGAGAGGAAGTCGCTTTAGCTTGCTGTAGCCATGTCTGACAAGCTAACTGTTAGCCGACTTACATACAGGAGAAGATTAAATTAATTTTTGCTGCGTTTTCATTGTTGCTATAGAGTTATTATTAAACTGGCAGATTTTACAAATGTGACTGTTTACTCTTTAAATTTGACTTAAATGACATACTTACAGAACAATCCAATTCAGCTTTATATTGATGTAAAGACCCTACAGCAATGCACTTTTACACTGATTGTTTTCACCCAAAAGGCGGTGCAGACGTTCTGGTGGCAGGGAAGTGATGTATGAATGCTCTCATGCATGGATGAATATACTGTATACACATATGCAAAATCCTAATAGGAGCTATTATTCTGCCTACCCACATTCAAACCTCAAGTAAAAGGTGTAAATCTCTGATGGATTTAAAAGATTGTAAAACACAGATATTTCTGTGCTGCTTTTTTTCCATTTGAAATATGTTCTGCACCTGACGTGTAATTGCATAGAGGGTTTTGTGAAAAGTAGTATTTCTGGCATCAAAGCTGAGGCTGTGCATTAGGTGTGGCTTGCCAGATTGCATAACTCCAGCTTCTCTGTGCTGCGTCCTGATTGGCTATCATCTTCACACATCTCTGGGTTTTCCTCGGTTGGAGGTGTCCTGTGAGAGAGGAATAACAAAAAGTAGACACTCATTATTGTAGAGGTTTCATGTGCTTTGGAGTTCAAATTGAAGACTGTGTGTTAAAGTTTGCTAACCTGCGTTTTTACTTTCATCCTTTCTTTTGTATTTTGCTCAGAAGCAAGCAGGTTTTTAAACAATTACCTAACATCCCAGTTCTCTGCATCCTCCACTGTGTCTGGAAGAGGTCTGTCGGCAGTTTCAGGAAGGGCCAGGGCAAGGACAGCTCCCAGAAGCGGAGAGATGCCGAAGATGGCGAGGGGTGTGGCCGGGCTGTGGTTATGCAGCATGTTGATAATGGGTGCCAGCACACCACCCATCCTTGCAAACATACAGGATACGCCTATTCCTGTTTGCCTTTTGGCACAGCAAGGGAAAAGAAACAGTTTCAGGAATGCATCACTGAAATAACCGTTTGATGATTAGGACAGAAGTCTCACCGAAGCACCGTGGGGAATATCTCAGCAGTGTAGACATAGATCACAGCAAACGACGCCGCTATGCCAAACTTCCCTACCATGGCGAGACCACTCAGGAGATTGGGATGATCTGCAGACGGAAGGAGAAAAATCATTCAAGTGATGAAATAAATTTTAATATTAGCTTTTTGAGGAAGAAAAAGCATTTTAGCAAGTTTCCATCTTACCTGCAGGCACTGCAAGCATGAGCAGACAGGCGAGGCCTCCGATTGCCAGAAAGCCACTCTGAGTGAGTCGGCGGCTAAAGGGCAGCACGACGAGGACCAGAGAACGAGCTGGGATCTCAACCAGCCCGAACACGAACTGGGTCAGGTAGAGGTCTGTCCCCAACCTGGACACGCCCAGTGAGAGACCATAATAGACCAGCACATTCACAAACCTGTGATTTCAAAGGGGAGAAAGAGAGGAGTGATAAAAAGCTACAGAGACATTGTCTCTGCTGAAAATGACAGTGAAACGACAAGAAGTCGTACCAAACATAGAACAGGATCAGCGATCTTTTCCTCATCTGAGGCGTGCGTACCAGATCGACAGCCGAGTGACTTCTCTTCCCCTCGACCGATATCTCACACTCAACCTGATGTGGACGCCACAAACGAATCAGAAACCACAAAAGAGGCTTTTACATTTTACCTGTACATTAAAAACATCTCTACACTACTCGATGTACTGTAAATGTTAAATCAAAATATTATATTTAAATCTAAGTGTTACATTAAAAATCCTCAAACCAGATGTTTTTATAAGGTGTGGAGCATGCTTCAGCTTACAAACCCCATACAGTTATGTGTAGGCTGATCTAGTACTTAGCAGTGTTGTGGTACAGGTGCCTTTAGCCACGCTGGCTTTAAGCAGTCATGATGGCTCATGTAACGACTGCTTATATCTTTGCCGAATGCATTTAGCTAAATCCACAAGGAGCAGTAAACCTCTGAGTGATCAACACCAGGAGTACAGGTCAGCTGATCACCGGCTGTCCACAAAGAAACTACTGTAACTCCCAGTGCACATCATCATGTGACTTATTTAAGTTAACCCCCCTGTGGCACTGCTCCATCTATCTCAGGGTTCCCCACCTGTCAATTTCAATTTTAACACCTGTACATGATTAATAATAAAACATGTTTTAGTATCAAAATTTAAAGTACATAAAATACGCAGGATGGCCTTTTTCACAGCCACATACAGGACATTGTTGGATCATTTTTGGCCTGATAGCACTGAAATAGAATTCATGGAAAAGTTACGTTTATTTGTAATTTCATTCAAAAAGGTAAAGTTGCATATATTCTTTATTCATTACATGTGAAGTGAATTAATTCAAGCCTTTTTACATATTGATCAAACAATATAGTTACTGCGTATCTCTCCGTCTAGCTCTGTACATGAAACCACGGTAACGGGAAGACTGATTAGTCTGGAAGGTCGTCACTAGACTGCAATAGTGTATCACCAGCTGTGAGTCATGACAACCAGTTATTGAAGTTTCATCTGTGCCACAAACTTGCACGTGTTCAGCACACAGCCCGAGAAAATCCCTGCTATCCTGACCATGCATTACACGCTGCATTAAAACAAATCAAGAAAACAGTGTTCTCAGCACGAAACCTTAAGTCCTTCAGCTTTCATGTGGCCATCATCAAATCAGAGGATTCAGCTTTGAAAACTAGCTTAGAAATGTATGTTTTTATTTATTTATTAAGTTTCACTGTATAAAAGTTGTACTCCTCATTTCGTGATTGTCTCATTTTCCTCAGGAAGCTCAGCTTTCACTTGATTCATATTTAATTCTTATGAATATCTTGCCAGGTAGAAAATGCCAAAGGGACCCGTTTCATGAGAGAACTGCAGCATGAGTCCTACGAGACAAAACAAAACATTTAATATGGCTTTTTGTTTTCTTTTTCGCATGGAAATGATGAAGACGACGAAATCTCTGTGGCTTTTCCGAGATCATCGCTGCTGATATAAAGGCAACTGTAAGGGGAGGAGATTTCTCTGTGATTATTTTCTTTTAATTTTGTAACAGAATCGCACGAGGCCACATGAAGATCAAAAGAGAAAACATTTGCTTCCAGGACAGCATGCTCTGTTCACTGTTTTCCCTTGGTTTAATGTGGCATGTAATGAATGCTCACACTACTGGTGTGTGATCTGAAATGCAGTTGGGTTTGTGTGCGATCGCTGCTGGAGGAGTACGAGGTTTTTGTTAGAGATTACAGAGTAAACAGGAGAAAGGTGGCTGTAAAAATAAAGCCTAACACTGTCACAAACACTGTTTTTGAACCAGGTGATCCTGAACCTGACACACACACACACCTGTACGGTGGGAGGTAAGACACGACCATTAACCAGCGCTGCCTTGCGAAGGAGCGCGATGGCCTCCTCTCTCCTGTTGTTGGCCAACAACCATCTGGCCGAATGGGGAAGCACCCTTGTTGGCATTGAGAGGTCAAACAGAGAGGTAGAGAAAAGGAGAAAATGAGGAATGATAACATGCAAGACACTCATAGAAATGCAGGTGTATTTTCATGTCTGAGCAGGGCAGATTTTATATTCAGATGTCAGTTGAATTTCTCACCATATATAGAAGCTAAGCAGGAAGCCCGGGGCTGATATTGCTAGTTGCAGCTTTCTCCAGTCTCGTATAAGATATGCTACTCCTGCTAGCAGCATATAACCCAGGCCATAGGCATAGTCGGTGATGATACCAGCCAGCATGCGTCTCTTGGTGCATGTCCACTCAGTACCTGTAGAACGAAGCGAGGAGAGGAATTGTGGGTAATGGTGGCAAGGGTTTTGCAAAAACAGCTTTCAACCAGTTTATTTGCATATCTGAAGATAATGAAAGGTCTGCACAAATGTGTTCCTTTGTTGTTAGCATAAAGATGAGGAGAGCCTAGCTGTCTAAAGCCTGAACTTACATCTAAAAGTTCTGTCATGTTTGCTTACTCAGCACAAAAAATAACTGTATGAGAACTTAGGTGAAAATAAGGAAAGCGCTAGACAGAGCTCTTAAATGTCTGGCATGGTGGTGCATTAGTAGTCTATGAGGTTTTGAGTCATGTGACCACGAATCTTGTGACCGTTAATCACCTGATATAACCTGTGTGCTTTTTTTGGATGTGTAGCAAGGTTTAAGTGAGTAAGGCAAGGCAAGTTTATTTATATAGCACAATTCAACAACAAGGTGATTCAAAGTGCTTTACAGAGACATTAAAAAACAAAAACAAATAAAAAGCATGATTTAAAATCGATTAAAAAAAA